GGCGGGGTTAGGCAGCTCGAGGGCGGGAGATGGCCGCACCTCCTCCCCCTACTTCAATTTTCCCTTTCTGAGGCGTGGATGGACTTGAGCAGCTGGGTCCGGGAAGGCCAGATAACCCTGGCCAATGGAAACGCCCGCGGGTGACTGGAGGTGTCTCCCACGGGTTGCGGGCACTGGCAGGCGGGACGAGACTCGCCGCGGGAGGCCGAGAGCGGCGGGCGGGGGCTGTGTGGTCACCGCCAGGTGGGGGCCTGCGGCCTGGACCAGCGTGGGGACAGCTCTGGAGCGGAGTCCTGCCGCCGGTCCCTGCGGCCTGTGCGGGGCAGTGGGTGACAGGTGATGGCCTCTGAGTGGACAGCAAGTGCTGGGTCATCCCTGCGCCTGATTGCGCCTTTCTGGGTAACTCGGTACTCAGACTCCGCCTTCCCTGGTCCCCCCAGAGTGCAGAGGTGGGGCTGGCAAGGCTGCATTCTGGCCAGACTCTGCAGCAGCCTGAGCCTTGCCTTTTTCCTTTTGGGGAGGACCACAGAGGACCCCTTGCTGAAACTCCTTCCTGGCCCCCAGCATGTCTCCTGTGTTCCCTAGCTTGCTGTTGGGCTGTCAGCTTTAGAATGAGCCTTCTGCACTCTGACAAGTTCCTGGGGCTCAGGCCCCCTTCCTCCACCGGAATGTCACATGCCCAGTGCTGGCCAAGCCTGTGGTGCGGCTCTGGACCTGCTGACCACGGTTTTGCTGGCACTCTGGGCTCAGAGCCTGCTCCATGAGGCAGATGTGATGGCAGCTGTGGAGGTGGCTGGGTAGCCCTTCGGGAGGCTTTATCTCATTTGCACAGTAGTCTTCAGGCAACGTTTTTTGGGCAAGCATTTGTGAGCCTAACCCTGTTCACAAAAGAAAACTCAAGCTGAGGGGGCGGATGGTGTCCACAGGGTCGTTGAGAGCCAGGGCCAATTCCCAGTGCCTCTCCAAGGACTGATCTGTTGTGTGGGGTGGGGGCAGCTGGAGTGGGTGACCATGTTGTCTGATGCACACAACAGTCACCCTGCCAGGGTCCCAGCACTTTGGTGGGACATGGTGGGGTGCTCCAGTGCCCCCACCCCGCTGGACCCCTATAGCATAGGTCCCCATCCCACAGCTTCGTTTTACTTACATGTCCTCAGACGGCAGGTCCCTTAGACTGAGCCCTCACCTGCTCCCATATGTGTTGACAACAGCTCTTCCCTGAATTAAAGTGACCACCACCTCTACACAGGTTGCCCAGCCCCTGTACTTTCCTGGTATCTTGACTTGTGGGTAATCACATGTAGTTTTGTGAGAACTTGGCCACACCTGGGTTCTGCACCAGAAGATGAGCTCTGAGGATACCCTGGTGCCCACCCAAGGGTGCTGCTTCTGAGAATTTTCATGGAGAGATGAGAGGCTTCTTGGGTTCCCTGGAGTAGATCTGGAGAGAAATGGCCCAGGACAGGGAGCCAGGAAGACTCCTAGAAGGAGGGCCATACTTGTCACTGATACTACAGATGTGTGAGGAGCAGGATTCATCCTTGGAGATGTGTCCATCAGTGCATGATGGGAGCATGGCCGATTCTGGCGTTTGTTGGTCCCAACCACAGGGTTTGGTGATGGAGCCCGTGAATACAAGGTCACCCTAGAATGACTCAGCTGCCCTTTGAGGTGATCAGTGCTAAACTTCCTTTCTTAGGATGCTAAAGCAGTGTATGCATGCTTACAAATGAGAAAGGCTGGCACTGCCTCCGGCAGCTGGCCACCATGTGCCTGCTGATGTCCGGGAGGTGCCCTGTCAGGGTCTCCAGGCCATGCTGACTTAGTCCCAGCCTTCATTCTCTCCATGGGACTACTAGGAATGCCCCCTTTTCTGTTTTTCTAGCCACTCAAACCACAGGGGCCACTGTGAGGCTAGGCTTGTCCCAAGCTTGTGGGACTAAGAGTTTCTGCCATCAGGGCTGGGGGGCAGGGCTGTCCTATGTCCAGAGCCTTTGGTCTTCTTACCATGCCCCTTGTTTGTGTGGCTCTGTTGAACTGTGAAGAGATGAGGCTGCTCTGGCCTGGGACTGAATTATGCCCTCAAAGCATTGTGAAGATCTGGGGAGAGCATGTCACTGGAGGAAATGTGTCCTGGTAAATGTCATTTAGTAGCTGGCATGAGAAAGCATGGCTTGGTGAGCTCTGGCTAAGATGGGAGAAGGGCAGAACACCACAGTAGGCCAGCCTCAAGCAGGGCTTCCCAGTGTCAGGGCTTTCTCAGCCAAGGCCCCAGAACAGTGACACTGTGTTCCCATGTGTGTTTACCTCCTCTGCTGGCAGCCGCCAGGAGCCATGTCACATGTCTGTGTCTGTCCTGTCCTTTGAAAAGAGCAGCTCGAGCTTTTAAGCTCCGCCCCAGGGCTGCCACAGTTAAGAGGGACAGTATGTGGGGTGGGTGCCATGAGGGGTGGGGAATTGTGTGGGTGGGCACCATGCAAGGTGGGCACCATGCAGTTGGGGAATCATGTAGGGTGGACACCATGCAGGGTGACAACATGTGGGTGGGGAATCATGCAGGTAGGCACCATGTGGAGTGGGCAGCATGTAGGTGGGGAATTGTGCAGGGTGGGCAGCATGTGGGTGGGGAATTGTGCAGATGGATACTGTGCAGGATAGACACTGTGTGGGTGGGGAATCTTGCAGTTGAGGAATCATACAGTGGGCAGCATGTGAGTGGGGAATCGTGTGGGTAGGCAGCAGTCAGGGTGGGTAACGTGGGTAGGAAACCATGTGGGCAGGTACCATGTGGAGTGGGAGCACACGGTGGGGAATCATGCAGATGTACACCATACAGTTGAAGAATCATGTGGTGGACACCATGAGGGTGGGCAGCGTGTGGGTGGGGAATCATGTAGGGTAGACACCGTGCAGAGTGGGCAGTATGTGGGTGGGGGAAATCATGTGGGATGGACACCATGCAGGTGGGGAGTCATGCAGGTGAGGGATCATGCTAGATGAGCACCATGCAGGTTAGACAGCATACAAGTGGGAATGGTGTAGGGTGGACACTGTGTGGGTGAGGAATCATGTGGATGAGGAATTGTGCCTGGAGGGTACCATGCAGGGTGGGCAGCATACGAGTGGCAAATCATATGGTGTGGGCACTGTGCGGGTGGGAAGCATGTGAGTGGAGAAATCATGTGGAGTGGGTACCATGCAGGTGGGAAATTGTGCAGGGTGGACATTGTGTGGAGTGGACACCATGTGGGTGGGTAATCGTGCAGGTGAGGAATGGAACCTGACTGCTCAACCTTGCCATGCTAGCTCTCTTGAGGCAGAGGTTGAGTGGACAGGGTGGATGAGTGGGCTGTGTGTGAGAGGGATTGGGGCTGGTGTTCCTTGGTGCAGACTCTGGAGGAGGTAGTGCTGGTTTGTGTGGACTGGGCAGCTGGCACAGGCAGAGTTGGTGCATGAAGCCCATTAGCAGTGATAGGGTCCGGAGCATGAATGAGGGTGGCCTGCAGATGGGCTCAGCGACGCCTCTCCAGGTTCCACCATTCCCTGCCTGCCCTGTCCCCCCAGGGGGATCCTCCACTGTACAGTGCCCTGTCAGCATGGCCCTTGGCCCCCCATGCCTCCCCATGGGCTTCTGTGAGGTCTCTCCCCACCTTCTTCCTCACCCACCTGCCACTGTGACAGACACCGAGGGTAGGGAGGCAGATCCTTTCAGTGCTGGACAGTGGGCTGGGGACCCATCTATCAGGGTGCCAGATCTCATCCCCACGTGGCCTTTACCTGAGTCACCACTGCTGTTGCTGTGTGCTCTTGGCACATGGCCCTGATCCATCCTTGGACAGGCCTGTCCATCTCGCTGTCATTTTCTTGTCATACTCACTGTACAGGGTGAGACTTGGGGCTCAACTGAAGAGCTTTGTCCTTCTCAAAGAGAGAGGTTAGCCTGTTTCCACTTGGCTCTTAGGCTCAGTGGTCCTTCTGGGTCTGCCAAGAAGACAGGGAAGTAGGACGGATCTCAGGCTGGAGAGGGGCTTCTAGAGAGGGATAGGTTTCAGAAGCAGGCAGTGGACAGAGAACAGCACTTGTGAGATTCTCAAAAGTGTGCCATCAGACAGCCAGCATGCCAGGAGAGCACCTGTCCTCTGCAGACAATATTGCACATTATGAATACATGTGCCAAGTTCAGGTTGCTTTCTTCCTGCTTTGCAGTTACCAGGTGGACCAGGGGGATGCAAGCCTGCTTCTAGGGAGACTTCCACTGGCATTCTTGGAGGACAGGGAGCTTTGGCTACAATGTGAAGAGGGCTCTTTCTTCCTGTTCACACCTCACAGCTCCTTCTGGCCAGGTTCAGGGGCTGGAGTGCCAAGAGACTCTGGGAGTATGTGGAAAGGCTGGAGATTTCCTTCCCAGAAAGGGCCTGTGCTGTGTTTCTGCCAAGGCTGGCAGGATTTGTGGTCACACAGTGAGCTCACAGTGACTGTCCCCTTCACCTCCTTGGTGGGCTCTGCAAAGGCCATGCCAGGTCCTGAGCAGGTTTGTTGCCAGGCCTCTCCTCACAGAGGTTGTCCCTGGGCATTCACTGTAGCTCAGGCTGGAAGTAAGATGGGGTTCTTGGCTGTGCCTGCTCACCTGACCAGAGATGTGGCACCTACTGTGGGGGTGAGTATTGACTGGCATGGAAGGTCAAGGCCTGCCTTTGTCATCAGGTCTATGTAAGAGGAACTCAACTTTCCTTGAACAAGTGCAGACACATGGGTCCAAGCATCCATTGCATGTCTGCCAGGACCCTGTGTGCCCTGGGAGGCACAGGTGTCGGTGGTTGCTATGCCTGAGTGGAACACAAGCACCCTACATGCCCCTGTGACTTTTCAATAGAGTTCACGAGAAGGACTCCCTGTAAGCAATTGCTTTAAAACAAAAAAGGATGTTGCTTACAATACCCAGTCACAAGAAGACTTCCTGCCTGGTTCCCTGTGGTGGGTCCCAGGGTGACCTTTACCCCTCACAGAGCCCCTGCCCAGACAGCCCTACTGGGAACCTGGGCAGGTGGACTGGGCAGGGTGGTTGTGATTCA